GAAGGTGTATGTATATAGGGGCATTTATCCTACATACCACCGAATTCTTATGTATTTATATATCTAACACCTAAACTTTGTTTTTTATATTTATGCCACTAAGTTTTTTTCATATCACATAAAAAACATAATTTTAACTTTTTAAAAGTAAATACTTTTTTTCTTACATAGTTAAGGTGGCATATATGTAAAAATCACAATTTAGGTGTTAGATATGTAAATACATAAGAATTGAGTATGTAAAATTTCCAAATTTTAAATAGTTATATATATATTATTTTACTTGCTGACTGGTATTGGCTTTTGGCTGACATTTGCCATTTCCAGCTAGTGGGAAGGTCAAGAGAGAGGGTCCTTGTGTTGGAACCAAGGGTTTTCGAGCTCCAGAGGTTTGTGCTTACTTTCACTATGAATAGTTCTCTTTTTCTGAAACTCGATAGTAGCAGACTAAGAAAAGTATCAAAATAGTCTCTTAACTTTTTCAGGTGGTCATTTTTTGGGGGTCATTTTATAAAAGTGTTAATTAGTCGCTAGGCTCTTTTAATGTGTTGACATGGTCCCAACAGAGGACTATTTCAGGATATAGTCCCAATAATTCCAATAGACTAATATGACATTTTTATAGGCACATGAATTAAAATGTCCCCATTTAAGTATTCAAGGGACTATTTTGACACTTTATTTGGTACAGATTAATAATGTTTAGCGGATACAGGTATTATTCAAGTCTTTCTACCAAGGTTGCAAGATTGATATATGGTCTGCTGGTGTCACATTGCTCTATCTCATGCTAGGGAGGGCTCCATTTGGTGGTGATCCTGAGCAGTGAGTTTTTCTGTTTTGAGTTCATTCTACTCCATACAACCTTCTATTTATGTTGCCTTCTGTTTCGCAGAAACATAAAGGAAATTGCAAAGCTGAGGGGCAGTGAGGATTTATGGGAAGTTGCTAAACTACACAATTGCGAGTCTTCTTTTCCTGTGGTACCATGATTTTCTGACCTGATCTTTAGTTTATGAGCAATATATTTTTTGTCGGTACTCGAATTATTTAACCCGCCCCTGAGCCATAGATGCAATTCCATGAAATTTTTGGTGTAATTTGAACTTGTCTTTTTGTTAGGTGAGGGTAATTCTTATCAACTACTCTAAGCTACTGTGAACAATCACCCTAACTGACATCCGTCTTGTTTGAATTTGAATTTGGGGTTTAAATGAGTCTGAGTTGAGCACGAGCCACTCTCGTCTTGAACTTAAGCTTAATTAATTGAGTTTGAGTTCAAGTCTAATTTGTTATTATAGAGAAAACAAAATTAATTCAAACTAGTGTTATAAAATGATATATTAAAAATAAAACAATGTATTTTAATTTATTTTGAATGTATTTTATATTAATATTTTTTTTGGGAAGATCATACATGCCTATACAATTCCTTTGTATTTAAATATCAAACACTTAACCTTTGATTTTACATGCGAAATTTACATGCAGACCATACAATTCTTATATATTACATATTTTTCACTTAAACTTTGAAATTTACATGCATAACACTCGAATTTTTAACATTACATCAAAAATTCCACACCACAACAACAAGAAGTCTTTGCCCAGCTAACTTGGGTCGGCTACATGTATTCTTTTTCTCCATTGTGTCCTTTGAGGTTCATAATGAATTAAGATCAATTTTATATACAACTTGCCCAAGTCCTTTCACTTCTATCTCTACTTTTCTTAACATAAGTCCAATAAAAATCTACTCTCCTAGTATGGTCATTAGATGTTTGACGTTTAACATAACCAAATCATCTTGAGACGACTCTCTTTAACCTTAACTGTAACTGGAGCTACTCCAACCCTTATAGAAATACCAATAATACTATTTTTAAAAATTGAAATATACCTTTTCGTGAAGTTTATAACACCAAAGTTTCGTAAATGTAAATATCAATATCTAAGAGTTAGATATGTAAAATACATACGAGTTGTGTGGTATGTATGTAAATTTCCCCTTTGACATTCATGCAACTTTATGCACGAAAAAAATTATTTCACTTTTAAAAGTTAGCGATAGTAATATTTTTGATGTGATATGAAAGATGTGAGCATTTTAAAAGTTAAAAAAAAATGAAAATTTAGGTGTTAGATATGCAAACAACTTAGAATTGTGTGGTATGTCTGTACATGCCCCTTTTTTTAAAAATGTGTCAGCTCACCATCTAATGAGTTAAATTGGGGCTGGCCTAAGCTTTATTATTAGCTCTTCGAGCTCCGCTCACGGGCCACTTATCGGGCCGATCGTGGACTGCTTCACCAGTCCCCTTGGATCAGTTGCATGGCTAACTCGATTATAGTCGCAGACTCTTATACTAGTGATTACTTGCAGGATCTGCTGGAGGTCGGATCACTGAAATCGATGAAACTGAGTGATTGGTGTGCTAAGAACACCAGGAGACCCGAATTCCTTGAGCTCATACCTGAATCACTCTTTGATCTAGTTGACAAATGTCTCACTGTAAATCCACGGTGCAGATTCTCTGCGGAGGAGGCTCTGATGCACAAGTTCTTTGCTCCCTGCCATGAGAGCATTAGAAAGCTGAGGCTGCTGAGAAAAGTAGCTACCTCAGATCCTTCAAGCAGCGGCAGCAACTGAGAAGCTTGGAGAATCTCTCTTCATCACCATTCTGCTGTGTTATTCCAGTGTTCCAGCGGCCCAAGAGGTCCCGCGTCGAGAACACAAAATGGGATCACTGTAGTTTACCGGATCTTCACTGTAATTTAAATTTCGACTTCAACGGCTAGTCATGGAGCTGAGGTAAGTTTTAGATTCATTTGGTGAGTTCATGTAAATTTAAAATTGCATGGTGCTTCTGTACCATGAAATTGAATTAACTGATTTAGATTGTTTAGTTGAGATCTCATGATAAATTCATGTTTAAATAGATATTGACACTTGTCTTCAGTTTATTTAGCTTTTTTTTATTAGTTTTAGGGGCTTTTACATACCTACCACCCAATTCCTATGCAATTACATACCTGATAGCTAGACTTTGCTTTTTTACATTTATACCACCCAAATCTTTCATATCAGGTTTCAAATACCACTGTTTTAACCTTTAAAAATTTAATACACCGTTTCATACATAGGTAAGTTGGTATATATGTAGCAATTGAAGTTTTGGTGTTAGATATGTAAATTTATAAGAGTTGAGTGCTATGTATGTGATTCTTCCTATTTATTAATATTGTAAATGTAAAAATAAAATATGCAGTCGTTATCAGCAAGTTTTAATTGTTGAACCATTATGATAAAATCATCATTATCAGCCTCAAGCTTAAATCAGAAAGATTAGTGGTTGATGTCAGATTGATAGTCATTATAAAACTAAATGAATCATTAGGTGATGATTGCTTCATAAGATTTGGGCAATAGGTTGGGATTGATCTTTGGTTTTTTTTGGCCAAGTTGGTCCTTTTGCCAGACATTTTTTTTTTGAAGTTTTGTTTCCTTGTAGTCTATCTTATGAATTTCCATAATTAAACTATACCATTTGATTAATGCAAAGTTACTTCCTTTCCGTGCATTCTTTTACTAGTCTTTTTTTTTTTCTCTTAGAATGGTTGGCATCATCCATGGCACTTTATATGCGATCCTTTCTCAAGTGTGACGAATTATGGTAGGTGAGTTTTCATGTTGTCTTTATATAGGCAACAACAAAAGGTTGGTGTATTGAGTTGATGTCTATTATGGGTGATGACTTGAGTTGGCATGATTAGCTTGCTAGTGTTATGAACACTGAGTTCACAAGTAGTGGGTGACCGCTAGAAGGGAAAAACCTCTAAAACCATAAACTTTTGTTTTTATGGTTGTACTTAGGCCTATTATGTTTAGGCTTAATTGACTTGTTCAAAACTAATTGGTTGATAACATAAGATTAGTTGAGTTGTTTGACCCAACACTCAACTCAATTTTTTTTAGCTCAATTAAGGGTCAAAATTTGGGATTATGACCAACATAAATTTAGTTGTTACTATTTCAAGTTCTAGATTAGGAGTTTATTTAAAATTCTATTCTAATATGATATGGATGAGCTATTTTCAACATACTCTTGGGAATGAAATGATGATTATATGAGGTGGTTTAATTGAACATATAGGGTCAAGTGGATGGGACGTAAAAGAATTCGTGGTGAAAGTAAATTATGAGAAAGATGTTATGAAGTTGTATTTGATTTTTAAGTAGTATATAATCTATGAAAGCTTATGATATATAAAAAAAATCACTTGATTACTTTTAAAAGTGAAGCTACCAAATCACATATTAACTTTTTGTTTGCTTACTTGGAAAGAAAATTGTTTTAGCATTTGTTGTAAGGCAGTTTCAAGAGAAAGTTCAATCACTCGAGATAAATTAATATATATGACTGAATGTCTAGTGTTTCTTGTAAGATGAAAAATTATAAATCTTGCGAGACATTTTTAGAAGTTATTCTTAGTTATGTTGAGCCTAATGAGGGTTAAGATCACTAGCACCATTGAAAAATCATCACAAAAGTTTTGCATGGTTTTAGAGACAACTTACATTAATGAGGAGACTTAGTGGTTGAGCAGATAGAAAAAACAATGCATTGAGATTTTTTTAATGCAAAGTTTGGGGAGTGGTTGATTCATGTAATCTTAGTTTTGTGTTTGTAAAGAGTTTATATTTAGCTCAAACCCATAATCTCCTAAATGAATTAGAGAGAAATTAACCACTACTATGAGTTTTCATTTAAATATATTTTTAAAAATCTTAAAAAAATAAAAATTATTAGGATTTACCATTATTTCAAAAAAAGTTATTTAAAGAGGGGCTGATGTATGTAACTTTGAACCTTCTGTTCATAGAGGTTTTTTTCTTGGCTTGAACCTATAAACTCCAAGATACTTTAAAGAAAAATTAATGAGCACTTTAAGTTCACATTAAGTGTTATTTTAAATATTAAATAAATAAATATTATTGATATTTATTGTGATTTAAAAAAAAAGTTAAAAATATTATAAAAGGGATAATGGGCAAAGTAAATGTTATAGTTTTTATATGTTTTATATAGTTAATAATGATATCTAAGGAAATAAGATTTATAAATTAGATAGAGCGAAAAGTAAGAGCTTTAATGCTTTTGATCAAATGAATATATTTAAAATGAAGGCCATATGATTCTACATAAATATGAAGGAATTAAAAGATGTAGTTAAATGTTACTTGGAAATAGTTAGTAAGATTTTTAGGGATTTTTGTAAGAAGGTAATAATGAACAAATAAATATTGTATAACATGCGCTTATTTTAAATTATGAATTGGAGTTAATTCTAATGATAATACAAAAAGCAAAACTATAAGATATGAAAAGACAATTATGGTATTAAGAGTTATGGATGATTTTATTGCCTTTTGATTTATAAACATTTTAATGAGGCTTTAAGGCTACAATGATTTCAAATGTCTGAGGAAGAAGGGTAATAGTAATAGTAATTACAAATCTAGAGAAGATAATTAAGATTTTGGAAATACTCTAGGAATTTTTAAAGAGAATATTATAATATAGATGAAAAAACTGCATTGGTTTCTTAGAATCCGTTTGATTTTATGCCAAAAAGATCCATCATGAAAAATATTTTTTTATGTTAAGACAATCAATGAAAAGTTAAAGAAAATATGTGAAACAGATTTTCATAAAATTTCTTACCTAATTTAACAAGGCTACATGTCAATTTTATAAGAATTGGTTTGATGTGCGTCAAGAAAAAATATTAAAAATATATTGGGGTTATGGAAGATATGATTGAGATTAAAAGTGGTTTTGAAGGGGGGGAAAAAACTCGTATATAGTTGGGCTACATTAAGGATCAATGGTGAGTTAATTTTATTATCAATATTGCCAATGTTTTCAAATAATATTTAAAGTAACTTTCCGTTTTATATGTTATTAGAAATTTTATAGCACAAACTAATTAGTTTGCTAAAAATAAGTGATTTGAGTGGTAAGGTAAACATGAAAACTATTCAAGATTTTTTGGTGGGGTGCATGACAATTATTAAAGTGGTGATGAAATTGGAAAGGGTTGGGGTTATAAAGTGTTCTTTTTGACCAAATTTTAGCTTAGTTTGTTTTTGGTGGATAAGAAGTATAACGGGTGAGTGCCTCTAGCTCAAAATTTCAAGATATTAGTGGACAAATGATGATCATTTTATGTCAATTGACTATATGGGTAGAAATTGATTCCTTGGACCAATCACACTAAGCGAATAAGACAAATTATAATTTTTTTGATAGGGGCATAGCTTGATTTTATTCTAGGGTTAGGGTGACTCGAGGCCTCAAGAATATGGTGAGGATGTTTTATGAAGTTATAATGATAAATGTTTTGTGGATGACATCATTGGAATGATGAATATGTTTAACTATGACAACTTGCTTCTCCTATTAAGAAAAAAAATAGTTGGGCACCAATCCCCAACTGAAAGAGGATTAACTCTCATTTTTTCTTAAAATGCCTAAAGTTGGTTTCATTGCAAAAATGTCTATTTATAGTCTTGTATAATCAATCATCAAAAGCAAACAAATATAATGAAATTATGAAAATAAAGAAAAAGAATGGGTGGCCACATTAATTTGAGGCGTTGATTGCCTCTATATTCTATGCAAGCCCTTAAATCTCCCATCTAAATCCTTTACTTCTCATGCAATACATAAATGCTTGAATTTAAAATATAAAAACTTTGAATTTATATTTTCCTAGAAAGATTAAGATATCATGATATAAAATTTGACCACTAAATGAATTTTGTTGAGCCAAGCATCTTTCTTTCTCTAATTATTTTGAGCTTTGGCTGGACATCTAATGAATCATCTTTGTACACTCCCATAATGCTCTTCTTGCATTACAATAGCTAGCCTTTAAACTTGCAAGGGATCATTGTATATTGTCATGATGTTTTATATCAAAATCCTTATAATTTTGTTTGTGGAGGCCCCCAATCCAACCATAAAATTGAAATATAATAATCTAAGGGACCTTTATATATTTTTTTCCTATGATTTTATTAGGGAAGGAGCTCCTAATATACATCAATTCTCTTATACTTTTTAAAAAAATATTGCTTTATAAGGTTATGATCTTTATTGTTGGCATACAAGTTGGATGTTTCTCAATTTGTAATAAACATTTGTTAGTTTCGCTTGGGGATTAGGTAAAAAGAACTTGTTAAATATTTATAATTAAAAATTGGTTAAATCTTTATGATTCTTAGAAGTGATTGAATTTATAAAAAAATGAACTTAAATTTGCTTCATATGATGAAGTGAGAGTTGGGTTATTAATTAGATACTTTTGTTTTATATATTTGAGAGAACTAGTTATTTGTGTTAGCCAATTTCTCATTCTCTTATTACCTTCTTATAACATAATTAAAATTTCTCCATATTTTTGAAAGTTTTATCGAAGTATTTTTGAAATCCTTAAAGCTACACATGAACTCCACAAAGTCTATCATGATGAACACTAATCTTTCCAAGTTTGTTGGAATAAAGAACACAAGCAAAACCAAGATAATTAGCTTGTCCTATAAAAAGTAAACCAAAGGCCAACCATCTAGCCTTAAGCTAAAGGGGATAAATTCTCTATTTACTTTTTTATTAAGCAAAAAATTAATTTCAACAAAGCAAGTGTGCTATTTATCTACTACTAAAATCAATCTGAAAGGTCACACATACATGCACACATTAAAATAGATAAATGAGGGTGGCCGCATTATTTTGAGGTATTAAATTGCCTCTTCATTTCATGTTAGACCTCAACTTTCTCATGCTGAATCCTTCGCTCCGTCTGTCATATATAAATACTTAAATTGGAAATTTAAAATTTTCTAAGAAACTTTAAATATTATGATTTAAAATTTGAACTTAAAATAAGCTTGGGAAGGTCAAACGTTTTTTCTT